TATACATATATTAAGAAATTGGCATTGTTTGATTATACATATCAAAATCGATCAAGTTAAAATCTAATCAACCGTGTTTCCGTATTTGGTGACTAGGATGATGAAAAGCTATATTAGAGACATAAAACATGTCTCCCTCTTTTTGTTTCAAATGCTTTGAAGCAGAACAAATGATAGCATGACCGATTTTTTTTTTTTAATTTAAAAGCCAAAATAACAGTTCTTTTATTGGGCAATATATTATTTTGATTTAAGCAACTTGTTCTCACCAGATGTGATATTTGATGATTGGCAGTGGATATTCTGGGTTGGACCATTCATTGGGGCAGGACTTGCAGCTCTGTACCACGTTGTGATAATCAGAGCTATTCCATTCAAGTCCAAGTGATAAAATCTCTTTTGGCGTAATCTTCAACTTGTGGTCATTGTTTGAAGCACATGAAAGATGAAGATAAAGGACCAAGATAATTATTTCCATGTTCTCTATTGTTCTACATTATGCGTTTTCTAGAATTTTCATCAGTTGTGAATTATGCATGTTTATGCTGCCAGATGCTCATAAAAGAGCTGGCTTAAATAATTCGGTGAAAGTCCAGCTTGAGCTTTGATAGTGTTCCCCCAACGAAAAGTAGGTTGGCTGATGGTGTTACTGTGTGTAGTGTTTTTAAGACAAGTTATTATAATATGAGAAAATAGTTATTTTCATCCCGCTTTTAAGATGGAAGGTTTTACATCACTAAATAATAAGTCAATTTTTTTGTCCCACTAAATACGAAATAAATTATTCGATAGATAGTTAAAGATAATTGATAAAGAGTCAAATATTTATGTGAAAAGCTATCTGTCAAACAACACAACGTAAATAATTGATAAAGTGCAAAACGAATTATATGATGAGCTATGTGATAGACAAACGGAAATAAACAAAAATAATTGACAAAAGAGCGAAATATTTATGCGATAAACTATGAGACAGACAAGCAAAAATAATTGATAAAGTGCGAAAAAGCTTATGCGATGAACTAAGCGACAGACAACTTGATTAATGTGATAAACTATGTGACAACAAGGTGAAAATAATTGATAAAGTGCGAAATTTTTATGCAATAAACTATTCAACAGAAAGACGAATGTAATTAATAACGTGCGAAACATATTATGCGACAAACTCTGCGACAGAAAGACGAAAATTGTTGATGAAGTGTGAAAAACTTATGAGATAACCTATGCGATAAAAAAGTGAAGTTAATTGATAATGTGCGAAACATATTATGTGATAAACTATGCGACGGTAAAACGAAGATAAATGACAAAGTGCGAAATAAATTTTGCGATAAACCATCCGACAGACAGATAAAGATTAGTCAAGTGAAAATTATTTATGCGATAAACTATGCAACAGAAATGCGAGTTGATGAGAACGTTCGAAAGAAAATATGCGATGAACTATGCGACAGCCAGACGAAGTTAATTGGGAAAATGCAAAATAAATATGCCATAAACTATGCGACATGTTGCGCAAATTGTCCTCTGATCCGATTTGGTCTGCAATCCGTTGCTGTGAACCGCTTCGAACAGCCTTACACCTCCAATGACCTGCAAAACGCCGGGAGGGGTCCCGACGGAAAATAATTCAACGCCCAAGTCAGTTCACGTTCAACGGTAATATAGCAATGAGACTTTTGCGCATGTATGTGTGTTGTGTAAAAATAAAGAACATGTGTCCCTTTTATAGTTGAGGTTACGCGTAGGCCAAAGAACTCCTGTTGAACAAGAAGTCTTCTCGTGTTTTGTCTCTTAATCTGGCTGGATATTTCTGGATCCCCAGAGTCCTTGACCTTACAAACCTTTTCAGCCGAGGCTCTCGCTGATCCCTCACACCGAGCTCCTCCAGATTCATTGCTCTCCTAGGTGCCGCAGAAAATGTTTCTGCTGAGCTACTTTATCTTGATGCATCAGTACCGTCCTTCGGCACACACACTCTATGCTTGTCCGACCCTTTCCACGTCGAGCTTCTTAGAATACTAAGTGATTCAGCTTTCCACTTGCTAACCCAGTAAGTGAATAACCTACCCTTCATTCCCATATCTTGAGCCACAGTGTCTGTAGATGAATGCCGAGCTACAGTTGAGCTCGGCCTGCGGCCATACTCCGCAAGCCACTATATGGCCATATCTCTGATATTAAAAGAACTCTATTTTCTATCTCTGGAAGATTCCTCTTAATTCCTCCGTTTCCTTGCGATTGAGCTTGAAGAGCTCAATCTCGCTGAGGTCATCGTGCTGCTTTATTCTTTCAAAGGTCGAGATCGACCCACCACCAACTTCAGGTAGGTTGTCGAGTTTCCTTTTCTAAGTGGATCCTCCCACTGAGCTCCAGACTTTCTGTGCGCTTGTCATCGTATACATAAGGTTGAAATGTCGACCTACTTGTAATACCCCAGTATCTTATTAATAAGCAAAACGGCTTTAGCTTCCGAGAGTAAGCTAATTCTTATTAATAAATGTTCGATTTTAACATCCGAGTGTAAGTTATTCAAATCAGACGTTTCAAGTTCTAGTTAAACTGATAAATATTAGGATAATATTTTATATCGAAGCCGAATATATTTCAAGTCTCGGTTCATTTTTCTTTTATAAATTCTGAATAGTTAGTATGAGTCGCGACTAGGATCGAATCCAAGTGTATTGAGCAATTATAGAAAATCGAGCTTCAAATCAAAAGTTAAGCCAACAATAGTGCACTAGCACCTCATGCGGCCCGAGAGTTACCACTTGGCACATCATTACACAACTCTAGTGCACTAATTCATTACGGCCCAACCACAAACAGCACCTACACGAGTGGCGTGAGAAGTGCACGCGGCCCAGCAGCCGCGCACAGCCCGAGTGTGCTAGCCACTTTCGCGGGCCAGCAGCCGCGAGCAGCCTGAGTGTGTCCAGCACCACACTCGGCCCAAGTCATGCTATAGCCCAAGTCTCAACACAACCTCAGGTGCAACTTTCGGCCCAACATATATTTTTGTTAACAACCCTCAATCATCGGTTCAGCATTCCGTGTGCAAGGCCAGCAGTACAGCCCAACGCGAGGCCTGCCAGTGCAGCCAGCGCATGGCCCGGCGCCTAGTCACGGCCCATCCGAGGCCCAACGATCTTTGGCCCATTTTACTCGGTCAAGTGAAGTTTGACCATGACATATCATCAGACGAAGTCTGAAAACACACATCCTATCCGGCTAAGGCACAAACTCCAAGAGGAAATGTAATAGCCCAGTTCTGTATTAATAAAAATGACAGTTATTAGTTCCAAGTTGAACTATTTCTTTTTATTAATACTGCTCGTCTTTAGTTCTGAGCCCAGTTATCAGCTATTCAATCTCAGTTATTAATTTCGGTCCATTTATTTTTAGTAATGGACTTCATTCAGTCAGGATTAATTATTTCAGTTGACGAATAATCGAAACCGAGTATGTCTCGATATATCGTCTAAGTCAAGCCGTGTCCGGAACCGAGTCGTTCGGTCGCGAGTATCGCGCCAAGCCAATTCTCGAGCCCTAGTAGTCTCGAGTCTCGTTCAAGCCCTAGTCGCTTGTAGCCTTACTTAGAATATTTTCTAAGTATGAGATCATTTTTATCGAGCCTTCGATATAATTCCCTCGGGCTAAGTAACCCCGCACCGAGCTCGTGCACGGGTCCGAGTCCTCGAGCCCAAGTGTCACGTGCCTCGCCAAGCCGCGAGTGCCCGAGTCATGGCCGAGTATTGTGAGAATTTTTCATAAGTGTTTTGGGCATTTAAGGTCAGCCCTAGAAGGTGGAAGACCTCGGTCCAAGCTTTACCGAGCCCGGGCCATGAGTCGCGCCCTAGTGCCCGCACCTTAGCCTCGCGCGAGTCAAGCATGGTGGCCCAAGTCATGGCCAAACACCTTTGGAATTTTTCTAAGTGTGGAGAGTTTTATTCCAGCCCTAAGCATGTGGCATTCTCGGCCCAAGCCTTTTAGCATGCGCAGCCCAGCAGTTCCCGCGCCCAGCTCGCGCCCAGGGCCCAGCAGCGCCCAGGCCCAGCGCTGGCAGCGTACCAGCCCACTTCTTGAGCCCAAATCCATAAATTTCTGCTCACTTCTCCAGGGCCCAACTTCATGCATGTGTTAAGGGGTGGATTAAGGACTAATTCAGCTTAGGATGCCCTAAGTAAGGATTAAGGATGTCACATGGGCATTAGGGATTATTTAATTGTGAGTGGAGGGGCCATATGCAATTGTTTATGATGGGAACCTTGTCCCCTTGTGCTCCAACCCACCAAGGCCTGTCCAAGGCATTTATTTAATCCAAGATGCCCTGCGTATGCTCCAAGAATCCGCGCCATTTCAGTCCAAGGCCACCCTAACTCCTATGCGCATGGGTGTGTGCAAGATCATGGATTCTTGTCCCCCATTGACCAGCCTTGTGCACTCCGCCCTTCTCCACTACTTAAGACCTATTCCTCAGACATTTTGAACTCATTTGCCACTTAAAATCTCGAGCAACCCTTGAGGAAATTCAGAGCAAAGTCGAGAAGCCCTTCCCAGCCCTTGCGCGGGCCCAACAGCCCGGGGAAGAGGAAGAGCGAGGTCCAGCCCTTTCCAGCCATAATATCTCGAGGCTTAGCAGCATCTAAGTGTTCTTTAGATTTTTCTAAGCCTTTGGGTTTCATAAGGCTCGGTGAAACCCCATTCCAAAGCAAGCCTAGGCCCTCAAGCCGCGAGTGAGCCCTAGTCGAGGCCACTAGCACCATTTCGACCTTTGAGCAAGGTAAGCTCGTGCCAACCATTTTTCCCAGCTTATTCATGATAAAATAGGAATTATCATGTAATAAATTGATGACATGCACGTTCATAATATGGAGTTTCGAATTTTTGAAGTTTAGCCCCTTAAATTCGAATTTTATGAAGCATGCATGAGATGGTCGAGATTAATGGCTTACAAATCCTAAAAAATCATGTGTATAACATTGGTAAAAGATTAGCATGCTTTGTGTTCATTTGTTCGGTCAATTTGTTAAGTGAAATCGAGCCATTTTCACCTCCGAACCTAAGTATATGTACATGCATGTAATGACCAATGTTCTAGCCTCCATAGCCATGATTTTTGATGCTTAGTATTCGGCCCTAAGTCAAATTATATGTTGAGCATGTTCATTTTGGTGACCTAGGGTCCATAGGTGCCATTTAGGCCCTACTGGACCGAGCCTTAACCACCCGAGTTGCCCTAGCATTTCTTGGCATTTTTACATGTTATTTATCTTGTTGAGTTGTTTTGGGTTGGTAGTCACCGGAATAATTGCCGGAAGGTTGGTAGTCACCCGAGTTGCCCTAGCATTTCTTGGCATTTTCACATGTTATTTATCAGGCGTGACCCGGGCACGAGACTGAAGCTCGACGTTACGAACTTAACCCTTTATGGTTAGCTTGTCGGAGTATGTTATCAAGACACGAAAGGACCGGTTAGGGTCTTGTGTATTGATAGATGAGTAGGGTATGATTCTCTTCGGAAAGAAAGGGGAAGCTTCGGCCTCGCTATATCGGACTCTTTGAGATCTTTGCCCGAGTTGGAGACTTAGCTTATCGGCTGGCTTTACCACCGGATTTGTCGGGAGTACATGATGTATTTCATGTCTCGATGTTGCGTAGATACGTACATGATCCTGACCACGTGGTGGACTTCGGCGAGCTGCAGGTCGAGCGAGACCTTACCTATGAGGAGGTACCGGTAGCCATTTTGGACCAGAAGGTCCATCAGTTGAGGAACTGGGCGGTGAGTCTTGTGAAGGTGCTGTGGAGCTGACATGATGAGTCCGAGGCGACTTGGGAAGAAGGAGGTCGATACTATGAGGGATACCCGAGGTCGGGATTCTTTGTAAGGTGGGTAGACTGTAGCGCCCCGTTTATATATGAATAATTTTGGGATTTATTATTATTATTATTATTATTATTATTATTATTATTATTATTATTATTATTATTATTATTACTATTGATGTTATTAATTGTCTGAATGTTTAATTCTTTAAATGCATATTATTATTAATATTATTCATATGTGTAATTATAAATAAATATTATTCCGGCTATTTTATTTTTCGATCGAACCAAGATATTTTCGGGCTAAGTCGAGCCCGTAAAATAGCAATAAAGCGAGCCAGTCTAGCGAAACGGTGCCCAGCCCATAAACCAACCCGATTTTCTCCTCCTATGCGTGAGAGTGTGTGCGTGTGTAAGTCTTGAGAAGGAAGGAAAGAAAAACCCTAGTCTTTTGTATCTCTTTTTTCTCTCTCGAAGGAAGAAAGAAACGCAGCTTTTTCTTTTTGTTCTCTCTCAGCATATCCCTCCCTCTCCCTCTCTTACGATCGTCGTTGCACATCACTCTCATCTCCCTTCCTCTCTTTTCTTTTTTCGATCACGCACCTTCCCTCCTCATCATCCTCGCGCCACCATCATCGCCGCCAGCAGAATCCGCGAGCCCTCCTCTGTCCGTGAACCTCCGGCGATCCCTGTTCCAGCGCAGCAACCTCCGACGGCACCACGTCACCGCCGTTGTGAGCCCTCCGTCGCTACCAGCTGCTCCACCTCCGGCGAAGCCCTCGACGACGAGCACCCCTGTCCGCTGCTCTTCCGTCGCGAGCCCACCACCGGCGAGCCTGCTCTTGCAAAACGCGACCAGGAACAACTGGTGACGACCGCCTAACGCCTCTTCTTCTCCGGCGACCCCAGCAGCGAGCTCTCCTCCGCGAGTCTCCCCTGTCCGTGAGTCCCGTCACGCGAGCAGGCCCTCATCTCCGAGCACCGCAACTCCTCCGGCGAGCCGTTCTCTGCCGTCTGCTGCTCCTCCGACCGAGCGACGCAGCACCTTCACGAGCCCTCCTTCTCCCTCACAACCGTGATCAGCAGGGCCCCATCGAGACCCTCTGTTCGCTGCTCCCCGCCAAGCCCTAGCCGCGAGCAGTCAGCCCGCCACTTGTGCCCCGCGAGACGAACCTCCGCCGTGGAGCCAATTGCCACTCGCCTCTTCGTACCGTTTTTCGAACGTGTACCCGAGAACGGTACTTAGGCTCGAGCCCCGTCTCGTTTATATTCATGTTAAGTATTATTGTGAATTGATATTGGTTATCGAATCGAAAATACTAATCAAGCGAAATCGTAAGATGTTATTTTTCTATCTATTTAAATAAGACCGAGTTGGACCTCAGACAACGTGTTTTCGATATGTAAATGTTTCAGTCTTAAAGAGTTGATGTCAAGGCTTGCTTAACATATATTTTATGTGATTTCGATACTCTATTGACGTGCGAATGTTGTGAGTTGATAAAGGCATGAACACCTAAAAATCGAGCCTCAGTTAGACTCTATTTTTGTCAACCAAGATGATGTTTATTGGACAATTGTTCTTCATGCATTTTGTATTTCTCTGAATGAGACTTCTGTGAGTTTTGGAATTTTGTGATTTGGAATTGAAATGAATTTTATATGAATTTTCAAACTTTGCCAAGCATGCTGTTTTGGTAAACTCGGGCAGAAAAATTGATTTTAGTTCATGTCTATTTTTTTATGATCTTAATGTGCCTGAATGGGAATGTGTTCTTCATGACAAATGTAATATATGATATAAGCTGCCTGTAGGAATTGGATTTATGTAATTTAGAGTTTTGGTTGATTTTATATGATTTTTCTAAGTTGGATTGATGCCCAGGATTTTGAAACAGTGGCTGGGTGTATGCATGGAATGTATGCTCTGAATTGATAGTGGTTATCGAATCGAAAATACGTAATAATCAAGTGAAATTGTAAGTTGTTATTTTTTTATCGATTTAAATAAGACCGAGTTGGACCTCAGACAACGTGTTTTCGATATGTAAACGTTTCAGTCTTAAAGAGTTGATGTCGAGGCTTGCTTAACATATATTTTATGTGATTTCGATACTCTATTGACGTGCGAATGTTGTGAGTTGATAAAGGCATGAACACCTAAAAATCGAGCCTCAGTTAGGCTCTGTTTTTGTCGACCAAGATGATGTTTCTTGGACAATTGTTCTTCATGCATTTTGTATTGCTCTGAATAAGGTTTCTGTGAGTTTTAGAATTTTGTTATTTGGAGTTGAAATGAATTTTATATGAATTTTCAAAGTTTGCCGAGCATGCTGTTTTGATAAACTCGGGCAGAAAAATTGATTTTAGTTCATGGCTATTTTTTTTATGATCTTAACGTGCCTGAATGGGAATGTGTTCTTCATGACAAATGTAGTATATGATATAAGCTGCCTGTAGGAATTGGATTTATGTAATTTAGAGTTTTGGTTGATTTTATATGATTTTTCTAAGTTGGATTGATGCCCAGGATTTTGAAACAGTGGCTGGGTGTATGCATGGGATGTACGCTCTGAATTGATGCCTTTAACGTGATTTTATATAAACATGCACTTCATGAAATGTGTAGTTTTGGATACACTAAGGACCTGTCAAGCTGTACATCCTCAATTATCCACTGCACCTATGTTTTGGATGTTTGCTGTATTATGTGCATTTAAATGACTTTATCTGGCCGAGTGTTCTTCATGAAAGTTATAGAGGCATGAGTGAGGGATATTTTTCAAGTGGTTTCATCATGATGTGATCAGTATACTGAAAGTAACATGCATTTTAATTCCATCGCGCATGCTGAAAATTTGTACAAGTCCATGTTTAGATTTCTAAATTGAATTGTACCGTTTAAAAGCATGTTTAGGTGGCATAACTAAACCATGTCATGCTATGTGATGTTTATATGATCCTTTGATGTCCTAAGTGTTAGAAGTTAAGCAAACCAAGATATCCACCAACCGAAAAGACTTAAACATAAAATATTTTCAAAGTATGCGAGCAAGGCGAAGCCAAGCGAGCTAGTTTTCAAAGTTTATATTTATGTATAAGACTAGCAAGTGTAAGTTAAACCTTGATAAGGTTCTAAGACAAGTCCCAACGAATGTAGGTAATTGAGGAGTCAAGCCTCGACCTACACCCTTTGCTTGTCGAGATTTTCAACCTGGAAATCCAGGTGGGTTGTTATTCTAAAATTAACTGTGCATATGTATTTATTTGTTTGAATGTGTTAAACCGGTATGATCTAAGTATGTGTGTGAGCATGTAGCCTATCGATAGCCATCGGTACGGTTGTCCCCATAGATACGGTTACCCTTATGAGGTAAATTTCCTTAAGGACTTCAGATAAGGCCGTGTCCTTACGTGGCACGCACTCCCGTATTATAGATATGGTACGGCTAAGCGTAGATGTGCACATGAGTGAGCCATAGCGATGGCAAGGGTCATGGACATGACTAGAGATAAGACATGATTTATTATTGTTTATGTTCATGCTACGACCATACCATATTAACATATTCTGAGTTGTTTATATGCATAGTGTGAGTACTATCTTTAACTGTACTCACTCCCACCTGCTCTTCACGGATGCAGGTTAAGCAGTTGGCGGGTTACGAGGCAAGACGAGTCGTGGTCTCGTTTAGTGATTTATGATTATCAGTATTATTGCTTCCGCTTTTATGAATTCATTATGACTTGGATTGTCCTTTCCCGCATGTTTTGAGATATTGATTATGTCATTTGAATCTTGGATAATGTTTGGTTTCATGGTTTTTGGAATTTATTAAATGCTAGTAAGATTTTATAACTATCTATCATGCAAGTTTCGATTTTAATTGATGTGTTTGAGATTTTCGATTAATGGTTCTTGGTAGTTAAGTAGCGCCCACTGAGTTTTAAATTAAATTTGAGATTTTTGAAAAATTAACTCGGATTTTTATTAATTAAATTCGATAAATCTTCCAAAATAAAGTGGGGCGTTACATTATATATATCTGCCTGTTTAATATCTTACGGGTTAAGAGAACGCAGTAATTAACCGAGGCCTAGTTCATTTACGACGATCAGTATAAATGAACTTCTCCTCTCTGGGATCCTGTTCAATACATAAATGTACTAATGCAACTAATCAGTCAAGACAAACTGTACAGTTGACACTACAACCGTTCGGATGGGGTGTTCATGTCCATCTAGGTTGTGAACAACTATTCTTGTTCGCTGATAGAGTGATCTTCGGTTCGCCCGATGACGACCCACCCTATCTAAGTGCATAACAACAAAACGTAGAACTTGTTTAATCTAACATGATTCTCATTCATAAAGGGTAAATGTGTAATAACATGCAAAGCCAAGCTTTCAGTATATAACACTAACACACGGTTGTGAGAAATTTGGATTGATGGTATTTTTTTTATCACAATCCAAAATAAAATCGAACGTAAATGATCAATTTATTTGGTCAATTATTCGATTTAATTAAAATAACTGAATTAACTCATTACGTATATTTATAATAGTGTAGTCAGTTTTTTTTTTAAATTTAAAGTAAAAATAGATAATTATTAATAGTATAAAGTTTCCAATCGAAAAATTTAGTCTTGTTAATCGTGGTCGTTGTTGTACAAAATATATACAAAATATTATTTTTTAATATAGTTCGATTTTTTTTTTCAGTTATTTAAATAAAAAAACATGTCATCGTACTGAAATACCAGATATATAAAATAATATCAATAATAATATTAGTACCAAAATATAAAAATTCGTATCGAAATTATGTTCTTTGGATGTTGTTCGATTTTGTGCAATCTGATAAGCATTTAAGTGCAATCTGTATAACCCTAATGTGCACTCGCAATACATAAAAAATATAAATAAAAAATATTATTATTTATAATATAAAAATATAAAAAATCGATAATGTGTTTTCAATATAGTTCGACATGTTCGTCTATTTTTTTATTTAAAAAATAAATAAAAACAAAATCTGTCATTAACCAACTAATACTATTTGAACGATAATTAAGTTTACTGTAATTTTTGTATTACGTGTTGTGTTATAAAGTGCACCGTATTGGTTTATAAAGTGCAATGTATTAATATATAAAGTGTAATACTTAAATTTTGGAATGTTAATATGATCGTGCGATTTTTGTGGATATAAAGTATCATGTCGTTCCCATTTTTTAGATTTATAATGTGTCATATTTTGGCGGGAGATATTGACATTAATTGGTGAGTCTAATGATAAAGTGAAACATATTGTTTTATAAAGAGCGACTCGTTGTTATATAAAGTGCAATATTTTGTTATATAAAGTGAACTAATTTATACTTTCCCAATTGTATCCGAAAACTAGTTTTATTAGATATAATTTTTACATCTAATTAACCTAAATAATTAAAATATCTTTTCATTTATTATTTTATTACATAATTTATTTATTATTATAAATCATTTTGATATCGTATATTATTTTTATTTAATAATTAGTTTATTTAATTGGTTAGCTGAATTAACCTACACGAACGAAATAGTTTATTATTTATAATATAAAAGTTTATTTATCAATTTAATATTTTTATTTATTATTATATATATTATATGTATATGATTTTAATATTTTATATTATTTTTATTTAATAGTTTTGTTTTATTATTTTAATTTATATCTATAAAAGGATATATAAACAATAATACTTTTTATAAAGTTTTTCTTAATTACAAATTTTGCCCATGTACTAAATTGACACTTAATCAAACTTTTTGAAATTGCAATAAGGACCCTAAGAAATATCTAATTCTCAAAAGTTAGACATCAACCCAAAATCAATCTCGTCAATCTCGCGGTTGAATATCCGGTCGTCGGGTCGTCCATTCCCCACAAAGAGGACGTTCCTCGGCTCGCGACGACGGATACAAGTCTAATACTCCAACCGAATTTCTGAAAACGCTGTGCAATTGGCAACGGAAAATCAGAAAATTGTGCAGAGGCATCTACGATTTACAAGTGCTTCAACAGATTCCAGAGACTTCTTCCCGGAGCTGAAATAGGCGGCAGCGGCCTCGGAGTACGTCGAGATCGAGAGCAGATTGAGATTCAGGGGAATCGATGAGCCGTCGTGGGATTTAGATACACTGAAATAGATCCTCGAGGCATTGCAGCTCAAGGGAGTCCTGCACTCGGGGAAACCGCCGGAGCATAATCAGGTCAGGCACCGGAACTTCATCTACGACGAGGCCCCAGTTGTCATTGTGAGGACTCTGAGATCGTCAAGTTCATCTCCGATTAACCGGAGAAGGGGAATCAACTGCTCTCCGTCGAGCGGCGGCCGAAACCAAATCAGTTACAATTCCAACTCGCCGGCGCCGAGTCCTCACTGGAGCCCGAGCGCAGTCACCACAGCCAGGAACGAAAGCAGCGCAATTGGAAGAAAATCGAACTCGCTCGTGAAGCCCAAACCTCTGAGCGTCGAAACCCAACGGATAAAACCTGATCCCGTCGAAAACCGGCGATCCTCTCTAGTTCAGTCACCTATTTTATGAAGATGTCTGTGTGTTGTTTATGTGTGAGAGAGAACGGGGTGTGGGGTGGGATATGGGTTGGCTGGTAAGTGGGGTGGGGCGTGTGGGGTGGAATAGAGTTAGCTGGTAGGTGTTGGTTAGTTGACAGGTTGGTTAATGTAGTGGGTCCTACCTCTTTGATTGTTGTGTGTAAATTTACCATAATAACCTTAATGAAGGTATAATTTTAACTTTTTCTTAAGCCGTTGGATTACCCGATCTAATGGATGTATTCTTATTTCTTTCACTAAGCACCATTCTCACCGGAGCGTGATTCTATATATATATATATATATATAGGGATTGGTTCCAATGCATCTCATTATTTAAAGTGAGGACGTGAGACTCATTCCTAGCCACAAGATTTAGATCTTGATTTAAATAATAATTCTTTATTTTTATTATTTAATTCTTTATTTTTAATTATTTAAATATTATTATGACCATTGACCGTTGACTCCGGCGTTGACCGTTGACTTCCGGCGAAAATTGTTGACTTTCGGCGTTGACCGTTGACTCCGGCGTTGACTTTCGATGTTGACCGTTGACCATTTGTCTTTTGTTATGTTATTTCTTTCTTGCTAGGTTAGTTATGTCTTGTTGCTAGGTTAGTTTTTTGTTGTTGCTAGGTTAGTTATTTGTAGCTGCTAGGTTAGTTGAGTTTTGTTGCTAGGTTAGTTGTCTTTTGTTGTTAGGTTAATTTTTTCTTGCTGCTAGGTTAGTTGTCTTTTGTTGCTAGGTTAGTTCTTTCTTGCTGCTAGGTTAGTTGTCTGATGCTGCTAGGTTAGTTGTCTTTTGTTGCTAGGTTATTTCTTTCTTGCTGCTAGGTTAGTTGTCTTTTGTTACTAGGTTATTTCTTTCTTGCAGGTTAGTTGTTTGATGCTGCTAGGTTAGTTGTCTTNNG